CGCGTGTCTCTTGTATCCACCTGTGCTGGGTATTCGTCTACTCTCCTTTTTGTCTTTTTTCCCCCCCTGATCTATCTATCACAAACTCTGCAAGCTGTCGCAATGGGGGTGACAGGCGGCCCGTGCAGGCATTCTTCCGGAATAGACAGGCAAGTCAGGAAGCTCATTGTTGTTCAGGACACGTCTGCTGAAGCACAGCGCTATACAGCAGCTACACATTGCAAGCTTCCCCTTCCTTACACCATCCTGCCTCCTTGTGAGGAGCCCTATCTCATTCATTCACCTCCAAATTGCTTTTTTCTCCCCTTGCTCGTGCTCCTGGAAAGCCAGGATGCAGGTAGGATTTCATCTGATGCTTTCTAGAAGTTTCCCAAATATTGGTTTGGCATTGAAAACCCAGCAGGTCCACCATCAGTAACACATTTTTTTACCAGACTGAAGTGGATTTTTCAGCCAACTCCAGCGCATTATGTCACCGTCCCCTTACATAAGTTCAAGTTTTATGTTCAGTGTTTGGGGAATTCATATATATTAAGGCACAAGAGGCAGCTTTATGACCCCCAGGGTTTACACAGCTCCCTCTTGGAGGTGACAGACTTACGGCCTTGCACTGTTGAGTTAATTACACATCAATGTGCCTTGGTCCCATTTATGGATATGTTTGATTATGCAGTAAAAGTAAATGATCTCACTGCAATGAGGCTTTCTGACATCACTGTGTATTTTCTACTCTTTTTGTCTAAGGTGACCCAGGTGGGGTTTAAAATCAGATAGGGTTAGCATTCGTAGATTTCTACAAATACATAAACAAAGTTTTATCTTGGTGGAGATGACGGCCCTCCATAAAATGTAAGTAGCCTTTAAACTAAATTGTTGAATTACCCCTCAAAGGGATGAGGTTAACAGACCAATTGGATTTCTCCCTCAAACAAAGAAATGAATGCTTGGAGCTTTAAACCTACCGAAGTTGTGGGTCAAACCCAACAAACTCTATCAAGGATTAAAGTAATGAACTGGCATAAGGCCTTTTTAAGTCTTTAGTAAAACCACACATCTAACATCTTTGAATAATACAGACACGCAAGAAAAAACTCATTTGTGGCTGTTATCAGTTATCTTTGATTTGTATCAAACCTGTAATAACTGAAAAATGTCTGTGTGTGTGCGTTTGCATGCCGACGGTGTCTTTGCCCGTGCAGGAGAATGCAAATTTGTGAAAGTGTTGAAAGAGATTACATTATTATCCCCAAGAAGAAAGAGGAACAGGGTTTGCAGTGAGTCAGCCTGTAATTAAAGAGGAGCGATCAATCTGTACCAGTGACCACACTACTTATGCCAAGTCCATCGAATGGCTGCAGTAAAGAGCTAATTTAGAACCATTAGGGACTGCCGAGTTTGCAAACAGCCCAGTAATGATGATGGCTGATTCAAGTTCAAGGCTTGGCCTCTGTATTAACTGTCAGACCTGGCAGTCATAAGGCAGGATCAGTGGGAGATCTCAGATAAAGACTAAAATATCAATTTAACTGAGTTTTCCCTATTCATTCCTATTGAATAAATGTTGGGTTATCGGTCAAATCCTTCTATTCCCTCAGCAGGCATAAAGGCATTCACCTGCCAATACCCAGAGGATAAAGGTTTCCTATTTTACTCAAATATTGTTCTATTAAAGGTGGGGTAGGTAATTTTGGAGAAACCAGCTCGAGTGCGCTAGAATTTGAAAATACACAGCCGGGAAAAATCTGCCACTTCCTTACAGAGCCCCTCCTCCAACACACACGAACGCGCACATGACCAATGAGGGCACGAGATCAGTTTGTGCACAGATGGAAGGCTGACAGGCAGGTAGGCCATCCAGTTATTTTAGCCGGGCCGGCTCAGATGATTGGTCGTGCTTTTTACAGCGCTACGGCTTCCACAGATGACGTTTTTTTATGGATTTTTTGTCAAAGCACTTAAGATATTCATTGCTATCGGGATGTTAAGAGCATTCCATGGAATATAACAAAAAGTGTATCTCGAGCCGGTTTCTCAAACTTACCCCACCTTTAATGTGCAACCAATTTGCTTTCTTGTGACCGTTTTTTCAGTGCTCTTTAATGGTTGTTATTTCAAAAAGATGCCAATGGAGCACACGCTGAGAGCCTTGTGCTACTTTCACCAAAAAAACGATTTCAGTCAAGGCTGTCACAAACTGTATCCACATTGTCACCCTGCACATACAGTAAGACACAATAGTGGACAGCGAGATACAAAGGTATGTTTGCAGGATGGAGGTAGCAAGGCATGTCCATTATATTTCCTGTCTGTTCACCATTCAATCTCAGCGTGTTGCTGGCAGGTGGCCTTCCATAGGGACATGACCTGGACATGTAGCAGTGCTCTGTTTGGTCCGCCTTTGACCTCCCTGCCATGAAGCTCCACTATGCACACTATCATAAACTCGTCTTGCTCTGACATCTCTCAGTAGAGAAACATATCGGTGAATAATAGTAGACAACTGAGACTCTAAAGGTCAGATGGTGACTTACTGCAAACAGTGTGCAACGATGCAACCTTTCATCCACGCTCATTAGAGGTGTCAACTTCTGACCCTGTCACGCCTGTTCACAGACACCTATGTACTAATATGTGTGTAGGAGGAAGAGGAATATATCCCTTTAATTAAAAGATGACAGAGGCCTCAGCTTTCTCGTTCTCTGAGAGTTCTGAGCCTTGTAAGCAATACGATCACGTCAAGTCATTGTCCTATCAGTCCTTTCTAATCTCCCTCTCTCCATACAAAAAAAATATTTTGTGGCCGCCTTATGTGCGTGGCATTTAATTAATGTTTCAGTCTTGTGTGCAAGCACTGACAGCAAACCAATAACGCTGGATCTCTGCAATCAACTGTCTCAGTGCTTTCATTGAGCTTCCCATTTGGTTCATTCCCTTTATTGACAAATGTGAGAGCTGTTTGAGATTCCCGACTCACATTGCTTTTTACATGCCCCCTGTCTCATTTGCATACCATGCGGTAGTCTCTAAACTGAGCATAGGAATAAACTAATATGTTCTCCTTGACCTTGTTTCCAATTGCTGATAGAGGACCAGAAGGTGACCACATTCTCACAAAGAGTCTTTCTCATTGCCTACATCAGCACTCTGTTGTCTGATGGGATAGTGCTGACCTGAGATTCCTCTACCTCTCCCAGCCCTACGCATAATAATGACCACCAGATGAAAGGGAGCCTGCCAGAATTAACACTGCATTTCAAACACTTTTGTACCATAGTGTCTTCAGTGGGAATGTTCTTTAATATTGCAGAGCCACTGGTCCAGGTCAGAGTTATTAGTCTGTTCTAGTCAGATTCCAGACGTCATTGTGCCCACAGATGTCTGATCCAGTCCTTACTCATTGCAAATATGTGGCACTGTTGGTTGAGTCTGATAAATTGGACAAGCACATATTTTCCTTGTATTTTTATGTACAATTTTTGTAAGGCAAAATGATTAGTCATAAGTGCGAAAGACCAAAATGCCACTCCAGTGCACTAATCACCAACGCACTAAAATACTAAAATCAGCTTGTCTGTGACTAAAAGCTGGTGTGCAATGTTTCTAAAGGAGACCAATCTTAATGTGCTTCCATTTGTTCTGCGTGACATCACACATTATTTTGATCATACTGTATGGGCAATGGTCTTAAAGTTGAACTATATAACTATAACTATATGATAATGTCCTTAAAGGGAATTCAGTTTTCTGTGTCTGATATAAAACTTGAGGTGCTTAATCTTTTCTTAAACAAATTCACGGCAAATATAAATTGACAATGAGTTATGTCAAGTGATAACAATATGTAAATGAAGATGGACCAATGTAGAATACACAATTGTATCCGGCTCTACGCTTTCTTTCATGTCTGCCATAAGATTGCTCTTTTATACTTATTGTCTTTAAATGTATAAAACTGTTTCCCAATTACATTTCTCTCTGTTCTCGTTCATCTCAGTGCTGCTTGACAGCATGGATCCAACCCATAATAACCTTCTTTCCAATCATGATGCTTTGTGCAAGGGGAATATGGCAGCTGCCTGCAGCCTTTGATTTCATCTTGCCCCAGATCTGCATTGTAATGAGCACTCAGGTCAATCAATAATTCACTGCAGTTTCAGTTATAGAAATAGAAGAAGAAACAAACATCCAGATCAGCTCATGGGTAAGACAGGGAGAGGACTTTGATCAGTATCATTGAGAGGCTCATATTGCACTGTTGTGGTCCTTTCTTCTCTCTGTTGTCAAAGCTGAGAAGGGGAGAAATTGGCCAGTAAATGTACATCTGTGCATCTGAGGGGGGTTATACATAGACTGAGTCACATTTAATTCAGGCATTCCTGTGTGTATTGTGGCAAAATGTCTTCTTATTTGACTAATGGGAGAGCTGATTGGTATTTAGACAGTCCTGCTGTGACTTGTGTAAAGCTGTTATATAGCACCAATGCTGGTTTACGATTAAGCACAGGCTAAATCTGTTTCTTACTGTGAAGTCATTACCTTCACAGAATGTGTCACCATGTTTTTTTATTTCCTTAAGAAAAGTCATTTGTATACAACAAACCAAAATCGGGTTTCTAGTTAGCATCATAAGTACTCTCATTATATGGGAATTGACTGTGTGAGGAGATTGATGAAGACATGCAGTCAAATCTTGACAGTGCCATTTGTTAAATCTTTTTGTTTTATGTGGATCAAACTTCTAGTAGCACAATTACATGGAAACGCAATGTTTATAATTGCATGAAAAAGCCACAAGTAATTACATGCCAGTTTGCCATCATTATGTTCTCAAGAAGAGAACACATATTGAATTATAACTCAATTACAATTCCAGATACTTACTTATAGTCCAGATTCAATATGAATTACACAATCCTTATTGGTTTCTAAATCATATGCAAACCAATCATTATCATATGGTTATCATGTGGCTAATGCCCTCTCTTTCTTTGTATTAACAGTTCCCCCAGAGGACCCGGTCATCAGTGGAGGGCCGGTGGTGAGCTTAAGAGCTGGAGATCCCCTCAATCTGACCTGCCATGCCGACAACGCCAAGCCGGCAGCCTCCATCGCCTGGATCCGCAACGGACAGGTCCTTAATGGGGCCATGAACTCCAAGGTAAGCATGGAGGTGTGTCATTGAAAGCCGTCCGGGGACAAAGGGTGTGGGTGGAATTAAGGAAGAGGGTTGCATGGTGGATTTACTTTCATTCTCTGGACTGTTTTTCTAAAAGCTAATCAGAGATAGGGAATGACAACACCTGTTTCTTTACATCTTTGCATGTCTTGCTTTCCCAAAAATAACTGCAGAACTTCTAAACACCCATGAGATGTTTCAGAGTGAGAGTCTGAGTCTTTGGTGGGCGTTTACCTCAGCATCCAGAATGTTTTTTGAAGTGAAATACCTTGAAAATCCAGGTTGCGTTTTGATTCCTTAAAAGATTGCTGGCCCTTTTTTCCCAGTATTCAAATCACCTCAGACAAGCAGATGGCGAGATCGGGGAACTATCACTGACTTTTCTCTGTGTTTTGATCTCCTTCAGTGGCATTTGTCTCTCTTCATCTTCTCAACCTGTTACGAAATATACTATGTCACTTTCCGTGCTGGAATCTGCCTGAACCTTTCTTGCGGCGCAGTATGATTCTCACTGACAGACCGTGTTCCCACGTCTGATGCCTAAGCGCACGATACTATGCTCACCAGCCTGCTGGCATGATCACCTGACCTCATAGACTTTTGACTGACACTCACCCTTTAGGCTAATCGTGCAATCAACACTGTCATGTTCTATTTTCATTTAAACAAACCACATAAAGAGACCAGGCACTTTAGAGCACTAACACCTCCCCCGCCTTCCCTCGCTCCCTGTGCTGCCTCATCCCATTATCGGATTTTTTTCAAAGAGCAGATAAATGCCATTGATTGGACTGGGGTACGGCACCAGGCCGATTTGAATAAAGTGATTGCTTGAGGTGGCGCTTGCTAATAGTGGGCGGGGGATGCGTTTCCTGCCTTCACTTCCTCTCAGAGCGAATGCAGATATGAGGACATGCTGTGCTGGTGGCTGATGGATGCTCACATATCTGCTCTGAGCCCAAGTGTGTCCCTTTTCTCTCTTGTCTCTATTGCCTACCATTAACAAGCAATGGGTTCGATTAAAAGAAGATGAGTCTTTTTTGGGTCCTGAGCAGTTGGGGGACATTTTGTAAGCATAATCATCTGCTCTAATGGTCTTTTCATATCCCGCAGATCAAGAGGACTAATGTGAGCAGATGTGGTGGACGACTCACAGAAATGGCTTTCCTGATGGTGTCATGTCTAATGATAGTTCTGACCCAAAGATAATTTCCCACTAAGGCCTCCAAAAGCTCATCTCTATAACCTCTTAGAAAGCCATTTACTGGACCAGTGGTTATGGAGAAAGTATATGATTAAAACTATCGCTTAACATAATTGTGAGTTGGTTTTGACCATATAAGAGTAACTGAATAATTCATGTGTGTCGTTAGCGAGGGTAGCTTAACTAAACTTTTGTACGGTATATTATGAAGAGGACTCCAAAATAATTAAGTGGCAGAAGCTCTTAGGTGAATGGTTCAAATATAAAAAGTAGCGGGGAAAATGTGGGTAGAGGAAATGAATGAATAATGTTCTCTCATGTCCCATCTGCTCCAGTGGAGCTACTGTATAGTGGCAAAAAGCAAAGAACTGCCTCCAGGTCTGGGCTGTGGTTTGAAAGTGTGCAGAGGAGCTCTATGATATTATTTACACAGGAATGGTGCAGCACATCATCTGAAAAACCTGATGCATTCCCCTCCCCTTTTTTTCTGAATGCTCTGGTGGCAAGCTGAGAGGTGAGCAGGAGACTGGGGTGTTATCTCAGTGTTAGGAGGTTTAAAACATGGTTACGGATGTTCTTAGCTTTTCTTCCTGGCAAGAATATAGCTTCTTTTTGTTTTCACTGTCTCTGCTTTAAAGTGAAATCATGTTGCTGTTTGAAAGCAGGTAAAATTACCTAGATTTACATGAAGCAGCCACTGTTTGTGTGTAATATTTTCAACAGAATTTTTGTATTCTATTTCCACTTAATTTCTATGATCGAACTCTCTAACCTACAACTATTTAAAGCAGCTGTTTTGTCTGCTTCCCATTGTCATTATTCTTCTCCTATCCTCCATGAGCTTTTTTGTGTAATTGGAGCACTTTATTGCATTTTAATTGTCAGACCCATTGAGTAATAAGGTGGAAGAATACTTACAAATAAAGTAACCTATTAAAATCTGAGTGGGCATTAAACCTGTTAACTGTTATTCATTATGAGACAGGTAAAGTTTCCCAAGCACTAGAGGAGAATATTAAGTCAATGGGCTCTTACCTTCAACATTACAGTGTGAGAACTCATTGTGCTGATGTAAGAAGATCTTCTATGTTTTTGGAAAGCTAATTAACCTTATTCATATAGATTCAATTAAAAGTGTGATCCAAAATATAAATGACTCTAATTCATTGATTTTAAAAACTTTGTAATTATCTATTTAAGGTGAGTAGTGAGTTCAAAAAAGAAACCATTTTTACCTCAATGACCACATTAAAAAAGGCATATTTTCATTTCTGCAAACACCGTCAAAAGAAATGGTTGAATATTTAGTCAAATAGCCCTTGTGTGGTCCAAAATGTCAAATGGCTGATTGAAACCCAGAGATGCATTTGGTATCAAATCAAAGGCGTGTTGAATGGGTAAGCAGAATATTAATGATGTATAAATTATTAGCTTTTGCTTACTTTGTGAATTCAGCAACGTCCCTGAGGGATCTCTGCATATATCAAACGCATTCGGTAGGACTTTTATTTTCCTTTCAATCATTTATTGGACTGTTAATATGACCTTACAGCCACATTTAGTATTTTATTAAAGATGGCCTAATCTGATAATATCTTATAAACCTAACTATCTATAGTAAATTAGTATTTATTTGTATTTCATTTGTAATTATTTGTGTATTTGATTTGTTTCCATAGTATCAAGCAACGTTTGTTTTACTGTTTACCATTAGTCTTATTAATGGTTGCTTATTGATTGACTTTTCAGCTATAAAAACAACATTAGTGGTTGCTGCCCCAAACATAATGTGTTTATCAGTAAAACACTGAAGACGTTTAATGACTCACGTTTCTGATTATCTATAGATTTTTCTATAGATGAGTTTGGCTGTTAGGCTATTCCCAAAATGAAATAAGCTGTTTTGGTAAAATAAGCACATATAATTATCAAAATACTGTTAAAATTAGCACATATAATTATCAAAATACCGTTAAAATAAGCACATATAATTATCAAAATACCTATAAAGTCTAAATAAAATCCAATGTTTTCATTAAATCCACTTGCTTACATGATAGTGATTTTAACCTTTCATTCATGAATTACCAGCACTGTTAAAATAGATCACTAAGTAGAATAGAGCATGAGAGTAAACAAAGTAGCGGTTTAGGGCTAAGAGTGAATTAGCACTGCTGGCAGCACATCAAGTTTTGTTTAGTAGATAATCCATTGGGCTCAGCCGGTTATATTAATTAGTATTATCCAGATTGATAGGCTTTTTGAAGCCACTGTCTGGTCTTCTAATGACAGGTCACCTTCTTGCTTATTTAACAGTAAGCTTGGAGGTTGCACCATTAAGCTAGTTAGCTATTGTTGTTGTTGTTGTAGTTTGCTAACTGGCAATCCATCTCAAAATAAAACACGTGTCAGAATGATGATGTTAAGAGGCAGTGCCATAACCAAGACTCAAAGCTAGCAAATTTAGACCTGAATTTAAAAGTGTGTCGAAAAGAGAGCCCCAGTGGGATGTCCCTGTTGCTGCTAATGTTTGCATAAATCAACTTGACAAGCAATAGTTTGGCTTATTGCTCTGTGTTTCTCGGTCTCATTTGCCCTTTAGCGTTCAGAAATCACCTGATAAAGATTTAAATTTACGTGGCAAAAAAGCAACCCTTTCCATCTCCATCTTGTTACTCATGCCAACCCCTTCCAGCCTAGTATATTCTCCAGGCAGGGATATGAAAATGTATCAAATTGTAATGTAGTCATGGTGTTGAATTCAATGCAGCAACCGGCTAACCCCCTTTTTAAGATTAATAACTTCAGACAGGTCCAAGGCGACGAGGGAAACAATCCTGATTGTGTCAGAAAGGATATTACATTGACATATCCCACATCTGACAGCTAATGCGCTCTGCTTTAGAAGCTACTCACGCACAAATGTGAAATTCATCACATGGTTCTTCACATACAAATGGGCTCCACAGGAACATGAATGGCATCTATAATATCCCTATCCTTATAAAATACTTATTAATATGCATAACAAGGCTGAGACTTTCTTCTGATACTTAAGAGGTAGCTTTAGGATACTTAAAGTTATATAAAAGGTTCATATGGAAAAAACCTGACAGCTTAATTAGAAGTTCAATGACATAGTAATTATATTAGTGAGATTATGGTGTGTTTAGGAGAGGGAGACGTTCTTAGATTACAGGTTTTTTTTTTTAAAAAGCATTGCATAGAAATGAAAAGATAATTACCACTGATTTGTGCAATGACAACAAACTAGAGTTAGACTCAGCCAATGATTAACGGGTAGTGAAAATGGCGGTTGACATATAGCATTATGCTCTCTTGCACTTTGCGATTACGCTTTATAATACAGTAATGTATCTTATGTAGTCATGACATGTCATCCTGCCTTTTGTGCCTTTCTAGAACTTATAACCTTTGTAGATAAGGTAAAGAATCGAGTTTCAGACTAAAATGTTGCATAGATGCTGAGATGTAATCATCTTCTTGATGTATTATTACATCTTTAAGGCAACAAGTCCAATGTGAGCTTTCTTCACTCAACAGTTCATCAGGAACATGGCTGTACTTTACTGTGGCAGGGCCTTGTGTTTTTACAAAAAAACACTAAGCCACAGTGAGCCTCTTTAAATAGATGGCAGGGAAATGCATCTTGTGGTTGACCACACTGTGCCCTGTTGCCCACGCAATTTGTTCTAGTCAGTGACTTTGTTCTGCCCTGCACTGGTTAACATAGACTCCCAGAGCCCTCCCCAGAGCGTTTTGGGGAGAGCGCGAGCTACTGAGCGCTACCAACCGATTCCAGATGGCTTCCACAATGTAGGGCTCAGAGGATGAACGCTGAAAAGAAGATTGATTTCCTTTGTGGAGTATGACAAGCCGTGCACTAGAGCGCAGCTCTCCAGACACACAAAGAGGCTCAAAAAACATATTTGTACTTTTTTTTCCGTATCAATCAGCTTTGCAGTAAAACTACGGGCTACAGTGTTTTGAGGGTTTGCCTGTGGTCCCCCAAGGGACGAGATGTGTGTATTCATGATTGTTCTGCTGTTTTGTTCAGGGGTTTTTCCCCAGGTTTACACCTTCTCCATCAAAGCTTATCTGGTGAACTGTTTATTCCATCTCTGTTTGCTCTTTGAATATCATTTACACTGTTGTGAGACTGAGCTATTGAACATATTATTCAATAGTGTTTGACTCTAATTTCGGAGTTCACTGTATTTGAAGCCTACTGCACATAATCAAAACAATTTAAGATTATTTTATATGAGAAAATCTAAGTTTTTTGCACTTTAATCCATTAGACCAAACAACCATTTGGTATAGATCTAGAGGCCTAAAACATGTACTTCTTCTTCAACTTTAACTAACTTTGCCCTCCTCTTTGCAGACCTTGCTGCGGGACGGCAGGAGAGAAAGCACCGTGAGCACGCTCTACCTCTCGCCTTCCAACATCGAGACGGGTCAGCAGATCACCTGCAAAGCCTCCAACAAGGCAGTCCCCAACGGCAAGGAGACCAGCGTCACAATTGACATCCAGCGTAAGCAAACCTCTTCTCCCTCTCTCTTCATACCGTTCAATGTATCTCCCTTCACTCATGAAGTCCCTAGAAATCAATCAATAGAGATTGGGGGTAAAAGTCTGCGTATGACACACATTACTCAGTATTTGTGGAATTTCTTACAAGTATAGGCGTGAAACTGTCTGACAGGCATACGTGACTAACACTCTGTAAACATATAGGATTCATTTTAGGCTCTGATGGGTATTTATAATTGGATTCCATTTTGCTTTCAAGCCATGTAGGTGGAAGATGGATTGATGATGCATCGCTTTTTTTTGTTGGCTGTGATAAAATATCAAAGGAGCTGTCCATCTAAAAGTGAATGGGATTGTCTGTTTTGGTCCGACTACCTGCCTGCTGTTGCGCTACGCACACTGTCTCCACCTCTTTTATTTCCTTGCTCGCGCCATCAATCTTTTTGATGAGAGCACGCACAATTCCCCTCTAAAATAGGCAAAGTAAGCCCAGCGTGTAAAACACATTCAGCCTCAATTGTCAGGGAATCTTTTTTCGATCAAGAACCGTTCACTGTAAAAGAGGGGCTTTGAACAAAGGGATGTTTGCATCACTCACGGCCCCTTCAACACCGTTAAGTATGACTAATAAAGCAGAAAATACTTTTTAGAGAGGCAATATGAGTGACTGCTCCATTCTTTTCATTATGTGCACCGCGAGAGGCAAGCATGGCGAGAGAGCGCCTGCTGCGATCAGGCCGACTCAGGCATGGGAGTGCAAATGATTAACAGTTGTTAGTGTTTGCAGCCCTTGCAGTTTGTCCTCGTCCTTTTTTGTCATGCAGTCAGGGAGGGAAGTCTGCCCACATGAAAAATGATTTCTCACCATGTGTAATGATGTGCCTGTGATAAATACCCGCCATCATAGCGTCATCCCCGCTTCTAAATGTTTGATTGAACCCTGAAAAATGATGGCAGCGGATTTCTAATTAGCATTCAAAAATGTGCTCTTTACACAATTAGAGCTCCCGACAACATTTTTCACAGTGTGAGATCAAACTGAGCGACAGCAGAGACTAATTGTCGAGATTCAAATTGTCTCCCGGAAGGCTTAGCCTCTTGTTGCCCTCCCTCCTTCTCACTCCCCCAGCATCGTCCTTAGTCTTGACAGGTAAAGTGTTCAGCACAGTTCAGCAGAGCCTACGGAGTTTGCACTAAGAACCACTTTCAAATTAAGCTTCTCCTGAAATGGAACCTGTTGTGATTGAACTTTGATGCACTCGTATTAGCCATCAATTTGGCTCATTTCAATGCTGTCTTATTCTATTACAAAGGTTCTTGCCTTAACAAGAGCATCTGAAACCAAACCAAAAATGTGAGCTCTGGTGCAGGTGTACAGTACACCGTGTGCACTTTCCGCGAAACACCAAATGATAAAGTGTTCTGCAGAGATACGCCGACTAAATACATGTCCACTGTAGATATATGTCTTCCAGATGTGTCTTGTAAAGGTTTACTGAGCCATTGATTATTCAACTGTAATTTTAAAACTGAATTACACTTTTGTTCTATGAAAATATTGTGAGAAAAATATTGTGAGAAATCTGGAAACTACTTAAATATGAATGCATCAAGCATTTCAAAGAAGACCTCTCATGAGAAGCAGTCTTTCTTTAACAATAAAAACAGGTGCTGGATGAATAAATGATGGGAGACTGGCAGGGGGGGACAGTAGCAGATGAAAGTTGACCTCCTTAAGTTTAAAGACCAAACAGAGCATGGGTCTGGCCAATGAGACTGCTTTCTGTTGGTCCATTCGAGTGGTAAATATTGATGGGAAGCTGCTCTCGTCATACAGAGAAGGAAGCACACACAAAACGATATCCAAACCAAGTTGAGAATTGAAATGCTTTAAATGAAGTAGATCAGTCGTTCTACATTATTCAATAGTTTTAAAGTGTATCTCCAGGAAATTTCCTCCAAATGTAGAAGTGTAGGTTCGTTGGAATCATTTGAGGAAGAATGTTGTACCAGGCTCCGTACGCCTGCTATGACATATTTAGTTTGGAAATGCAGACTTTTGGCGGATCTAGAACCTGAATTGGGACGCAGTCAGATATTGAGAAATGACTGGGCACATGTACAAGTCAAACACACACTAATGCTTTCCCAAATCTTCTACATTGCCCCAAAAACAACCCAGCTCCAAAGATTGATGTAAGGATAATTATGTAGTTGCTAATGCTCATATTAGTCCTTCCAGTTAATTTTCCAATTTAGAAAAACAGCTCGATTATGTTACAAAAGCACAAAAGACTTGACCCTGCACAGCCATAGTAGATGTCAACAGAATGTATTTCACCAACTGTTGTCATGCAATTGAAAAAAGGCCCAACAAAGAGGAACTTGTACCTCCTCAGAGCAGCGTAAGCAAAAAAAAACATAATTTCTTCTTCCCACTATAAAACTCATTTTCTCTCAGAGAAGGCCATCACCCGACCTTTCAAGACAATAGTTCCTTCAGGCGCTCCATGTCAGCGTGTCAAATGAACGTAACCCCTTGACCATGCATCTTTACAATGGTGCCGGGTGTTCCCTCTGTTCTACAGCAAGAAGCCGTCACAATATTCGTACATTGCCAAATCTCCCTGTGGCGGTATACACTATTATTCATTCATGTTCACATAATAATGGCCTTAATCTCTATCATGACCACAAAATAGCCTTGAAGGGATGCAATTTTGGAAAGTAGTGACATATTTTGAGATGTACTGGCTTCTTCGGTGTATCTTCCTTCTTCACACATAGATATACTAAAAGAGAATGATTACCATCCAAATATAAAAGGCTATCAAATGTATTTACGATTTGCAGGAACTAGAGACTAAATGTAGTGATGTATGGATGACTGGTAGTGAATAAAAAAAAGGGCATCTAAGTTGTTTTGGGAAAGTATTGAATTAAATGAAATACAAATAACGCAAAAAACGTAACAATGTTGACAGAATTTTATAATTAAGTTTTCCACAAATAACATAATTAGGTGCTATGTTTAGTGCAAACATGTAATTATTTTTGTACACCTTTACATGCTGTTCACAGGAGTTTTGCAAGTGATTCCACAATGTACACCTGGCCGTTTCTCAATCTTGAGGATACTGGCTTCCAAGCCAATATTTCAAGGATGCTCCGTCATCAAGTGGCGCAGCAGGACCGTTCCAATGTCCAGCATACTTGAAATTCCACAGAGGCCGCGTCCTTGGTTTGGGGGAAATTTCGAGGCTGCACATGGGTAGACTTTGCGTCCTTAAAATCCCCACAATGCTTTGCGCACGGACCAATTTCAAAAACCCTTGCGGAGAATGGCTGAACCGACGCAGCACACATTTAAATGTAAGTATATAGTGGCGTAGAACATGTGTTGGTAAATATGTTACGTTGTTACATTTGTTATCACCAAAAATGTGTTCCGTGAAAGTAAAGCAAGTTCATAATTAGATAGACATCGTGAGGTATTTATTTTCGGTAAAGTTTATGTTGAAACCGTTAGAGAGAGTGGCACACTTGTTAGCCTGTTCCATTCTTCTTCGTTTTCCGAAGCCGTGGCTTGGAAGTATACTTGCTTCGTTTCTGAAGGAAGTGACATGGAAGTACGCGACTACCAAGCCAGCATCCTCAAGATTGAGAAACGGCCCCCGACTCACTGTTACAAATACAGGGGGGATTAATGAGTCTCTGATAAACGGTCCATGTTTGTTAGTCGAGGCTTGTCTTTCTTCTTTTGTTTACCGAGAGCGATCACTATCCATTCATTGTGTTTTATTTGTCATTATCATACCTTGTACCTGCTTCGGGTGTTTCTCAATGTCGAGGACGCTTCCTTGGTAGGACATGTCCCTCCGAGTCAGGTCCTTCAGAAGCGAGGCAAGAATCCTTCCTAGCCTCGGAAAACGAAGAATGGTGGAACAGGCTAACAGGTGTGCGGGTGTGCGTCATATGCGAGGCCCCGCCTTAAATGGAGCGCGATTTCCGCCAAAGATTTGGAAATTAGTCCGTGCGCAAAGCATTGTGGGGATTTTAAGACTGCGTAGGATACACATGTGCAGCCTCGAAATTTCCCGCAACGAAGGACGCTGGCCTCGGTAGAATTCCAAGCATCCTGGACATTGGAACAGTCCTTCGGCGGGACTCGATGACGTAGTATCTTTGAAATAGTGGCTCTGGAGCAGCCTTCCTCGACATTGAGAAACACCCTGTGACTCACATCGTATTTTTTTTGCGTTTTAAATTGTGATATGTGCTTTGGTAAAGCACTCTGAGCTGCACCTGATGAATGGAAAGTGCTGTACAAATAACTGTTATTATTATTATTATTATTAAGTAAAAATCTTGTGAGGGCAAACTCAGGCGAGAGAGCCTACACCACAACCACTTCTGTCCTTCCAAGATCTCATAAATTGCAATATAGTTTGCCGGCATGAAAGACCCTTTGATCTTTGGGTATAGGTTTTACTCCAAATAGGAAAGTATAAGACCTCAGTATTTTAAGGTCCAATTATCTAAGTTCAAATTGAAAGCATACATACTTGAAATGGCAGCATTTGTGAGTCAGATGCTTTTAACCTTCATTTCAAATTATGAGTTGACAGCTATTCACTGCAGGGTTAATGCCTTTCAAATATGTATCTGACATCATGTGTGCTAGCTCCATTTGAAGATTGAGATTTAATTAATACTGATCTTACTCTCAAAAAGGCAGCAGATAAGCGCATGTCCCAATATTGCTGTGTATAATTAGAATAATACTGTGAATGAATGCTGCAGTTTCCTATGGCATGTATTTTTTGTGTGGGTCCCAATATTTAGACCTAATAGACTCATTTATTTTCAGGCCCAGAGTTTTCTAATTGACCGTGTTACGTGCGATAATATTAATGGCAACAAAAGTAATTAAAACTTCTCAGTCAGTCTGCCCTTCTCAACATTTGGTATTCCGCTCACCTCTAAGTCTAGGTGCCCTTT